GGAGATAATTTGGTTTTACTCGTATTTCATTGTAAAAGTAGATATGATAGTCCTAATACGGAGTAGATTATAATGGGATGTATTTTTGTACGGAGTATAATTTTATTGAATTTAAGGTACTGTGTGGGACCTTAAATATTTGGTAAAGTGAAAAAGGACATGTATTATACTGTAATAATTTGGGATTGAAAGAATCATATTCTGTGAATAATATGATTGCTTTGCTAGCAATATATCCATTGTACAATAATAAGGGAAAGCCCCTAATTTAGCTATAAACAAGGTAAATAAATATCCTAAAGGCTAAACTCTAGGAAACAGAATTATACACAAAATATTTACATATATCTTAACACACCCTCACAGTCGAAGCGGGAGGTTGTCGGACGCTGAGATTGTCCCAAAATCATTAAAGAGAACTCGCGGGGGATCCTTTGTAAAGATGTCCACAATCTGATATCTAGATGGCGCATAAAGAATACGGACTTCACCACGGGCAACCTTCTCTCGAACAAAATGAATATCCATTTCAATGTGTTTCGTACATTGATGTTGAACTGGGTTGTTGGACAAATAAATAGCACTTACATTGTCACAATACACAAGAGCAGCCTTAGTAATCGGACAATGCAACTCTAGAAGAAGGTTTCAGAGCCAACACGGCTCAGAAACTACATTAGCGACACCTCGATACTCCGCCTCTGCATTGGATTTAAAAAAGGTCGGTTGTCTCTTAGACGACCAAGAACCAAGTTATCACCCAAAAATACACAATAACCAGACGTCGAAAGCCTAGTATCAGGGCATCCACCCCAATCTGCATCAGTGTACGAGACCAGAGTAGAAAAAGAAGAGGGATATGGTCTAATGTACCCTTAACATACCGAATAACCAGCTTAAGAGCTAACATGTGATCAACCCGCGGATCATGCATATGAAGACACACCTGTTAGACGGCATATAATATATCCGGCCGTGTGAAAGTCAAATACTGCAGAGCCCCTGCAAGACTCCGATACAGAGTGGGATCATCAAAAGTAGTACTAGAGGTAGCACTAACCTTTGAGTTGGTGTCAACTAGAGTGGGAGACGGCTTACATGAAGACATACCAGCACGCTCAATTATTTCTTCTGCATATTTGCGTTGTGAAAGGAACATACCATCCTTATGCCTAGTGACAGCAATACCAAGAAAATAATTAAGAGAGCCCAGATCTTTCATAGCAAACTCTGAACTGAGAAGATTCATAATGGATCGCCGGAGAACATCTGAAGAAGCTATGAGTATAATATCATCAACATACAATAAGATGTAAGCCATATCAAAACCTTTCCTGAAAATGAACAAAGAGTTGTTCGTTCTACTATTGGTGAAGCCAATAGACAAGACAAAATTTGCAAAACACTTATACCAAGCGCAGGGAGCCTGCTTAAGCCCATATAAAGACTTACGCAGAAGACAAACATAATCAAGATGAGTTCGATCCCTGTAACCCAAAGGTTGATGCATATACACTGTTTCTTGAAGCTCACCATGCAAAAAGGAATTTTTGACATCTAATTGATGAATAGAGCATGCCTTCGAGAGAGAAAGACTGAGAACAATGCGGATAGTAGCCGGTTTCACAACCGGACTAAAAGTCTCCCCACAATCAATGCCCATCTGCTGAGTTTTTCCATCACCTACAAGACGGGCTTTATGCCTCTCAAACACACCATTAGATTTAACTTTATGAGCAAAAATCCACATAGACCGAATAAGATTAACATCAGGCGGACGGGGCACCAACTCCCACGTCTTATTTTTAATCAGAGCATCAAATTGCTCATCCATGGCCATTTTTTAATTAGGGTCATGAAGTGTCTCAACTCGATTACGAGGTAAAGGGGACCTCAACACTGAAGTATGCATGTATTTGGGATTGGGCTAAACAATCCCATTTTGACTCCTTGTCACTATTCTGGGTTGTTGGAGAGTAATAGGAGGGGGATGTGCAATCGGGCCTGATTGTGTTTGGGCCTGTTGGCTAATGGGTAAGGGAGGAGTATGGGGTGTTGAATTGGAGGGAGAAGTAATGAGAGTTGGGCTGGATGGAGGAGAAGGCCCACGGTCAGAATCTGGCTAATGGGCTGTAGGTGACGCGACCTGGGTAGGCTAGGCCTGATTAGGCTGGGCCGTGGGTGATTTAGGCCACTACTAGAAATAGGTCGAATTCCGACGGACCATTTCCGACGGACATGTTTTTCCGTCGGAAATCCCATAAATTCCGACGGATTTTATTCCGTCGAAAATTTACAACGAATTTCCTACGGAATAAAAATCTGTCGGAATTTATGACGGAATAATTTAATGTTTCGACGGAAATAAAATTTGTCGGAAATTTCCGACGGATTATTCCGTCGAAACATTAAATTTCCGATGGAAATAAAATCCGTCGGAAATTTCCGACGGAATATTTTGTCGGAAAATTAATGTTTCGACGGAATATTCCGTGGGAATATAATTAAATAATAAAAAAAAACAAACCCTAAAAAACCCGGTTCCCCCCTCCCCTTATCATTTCTCTTTCTTTCTCCTCTCCTCTCCTCTCCGCCTCTCTTCTCTTTCTCTCTCCTCTCTCTCTCTCTCCTCTCTTCTTTCCTCTTCTCTTCTCTTTTGATCTCTGTACTCCTCCATTCCGCCCTCTCTTTCTCTCTCTTCTCCTTCCTTCTCTTTCTCCTTCCTTATCATTCTTTGTCCTCTCTGTTCTTCTTCGTCCCCTTCGTCTTCTTCGACCACCACAACAACGACACCAGCAGCAACGACAACCACAACAACCAACAACGACACCAACCTAACGGCAACACATTGTAGATCTAGGGTCTTTTTTTTGTTTAATTTTTTTCGGATCTCTATTAATTTCAGAAGATAAATGTATATATATTTCTTTTGTTTGATTTCATTTTTTTTTCGGATCTCTATTGTACGATTTGGGTGTCATGAACTTTTTTTGTTTTTTTCGATTTGTTATTTTACGAATTGGTTTTTGATATTTTTCGATTTGGGTTGGGCTGTTGGTGGTGGCTAGACAGGGTGGGGTAGGGTGGGGGTCCGGTCAGGGTGGTGGGGGAGGTTTGGATGGGGGGGTCTGGGTGGGGTGTGGGTTATTAGGTGGGTCTGGGTTTGGTTTGGTGGGTTTAGGTCTGGGTCTGGGTTTGGTGGGTCTGGGTTAGGTGGAGGTGGTTGGGTGGTGCGGGGTGGTGTGGGGTTAGGCGTGGTGTGGGTGTGGGTGTGGGTGGGTTGGAGGTGGTTAGGCGTGGTGGGTGTGGGTGGGTTAGGGGGTTGGCTAGGTGGGGAAGTGGTGGCTGGACAGGGTGGGGTAGGGTGGTTGGGTTGGTGCTTGTTTTTTTTTTCGACGGAAATTTCCCTCGAAAAACGTCGAATTTCCTACAAAGGGTATTGCAACAGACTGATTCCGACGAAATTTCCTCGGAAGGCCGTTTTTCAACGGAATTTCCGATGTTTCCGACGGAAAAATTCCGTCAGAATCCAGCCGTTTTCTTGTAGTGGGCAAGGAAGATGGAGGTGGTGAATCCTGTTGGACCTGCAGATTCAAGAGGTGATGTAAAATGTATGGGTGGACTCCATCATCAAGAAAATCATAAGCATTAGCATGTGGGACGTAAAGCTTAGCAAAAGGAAAAACGGTCTCATCAAATAAAACATGGTGACAAATGATGATTTTATTAGTTGATAAATCAAAACACTTATAGCCACGGTGGTTTATAGGATACCCCAAAAACACACAAGGAGTGGATCTAAGTTGTAGCTTATTAATGGTAGTAGATGGGATAAGAGGATAGCATAAACAACCAAAAATCCGTAAAGTGAGAATAAGACGGAACCCTTTGTAAAGAACCTCTAGAGGAGATTTATGCCCCTATAGTTTGCTAGGAAGAATGTTAAGAAGATAAGTTGTCATTTGTAATGCACGATGCCAAAAAGAAGGGGGAAGAGAGGCATGTGCAAGTAAAGTGCGAGTGACATTATTGATTGATCGTATTTTTCGTTGAGCTTTCCCATTTTGAGAAGAGGTATGAGGGCAATATAATCGAAAAGACATGCCATGATTCTTACAAAATTCCCAAAAAGAACTATTATCAAACTCCCTACCATTATCACATTGGACATTCTTAATATTACGCCTCAAATTGGGTGAGAATATGTGTTTTAAAGGCCATGAAAGTATCAAACACATCCGATTTTCGTGATAGGGGAAAAATTCATAAATAATTCGAAAAATCATCCAAAAGCAACACATAATATTTATGTCCCAAAGAACTCAAAATAGGAGAGGACCAAAGATCACTATGAATAATGTCAAAAGGCATAGTTGTACTTGACATTGAAGAAACAAATGGCAATTCACAAATACTGGAACTAGAAAAACTAGTACAATAAATGCAATTATTTTTCCTAAGAGCATCTAGGATAGGAGCCCCTAGATGACCCAAACAATCATGCCAAAGCTTAGGAGAGATGGCGGCAAAGGTTGAGTTAGCTTGATTTTTGATAGTGGTGGTGATAGGGTAGAGATCTCCTTGACTATTACACCTCATTATTGGCATCCCGTCCGAAAATCCTTCACAAAAAAACCCAAATGGATCAAATTCGACAGACACAGAATTATCAGCAGTGAACTTACAAACAAATATGAGATTTTTTATTAGTTTGGGTGCATGTAGGACATTGTTTAGGGAAAGGGGAGGATTAGGAGAGGGTAAACTTGATTTACCATAGCCAACAATCAGAATAGTATGACCGTTACCAACAATAATGCCATTACTAGGATGAGTGCTCAAATTAAAATAAGACGAGAAATTACCGGATGAGGACATCATGTGGGAGGTTGCACCGGTGTCCATGTACCAAGACGGGTCCGGTTGAGCAAGAGACATAGTATGCATGGTTGCCTCGAGGTTTTTTGGAGTGGAAGTAGTGAACTGCCCAAATTGCGATGCTAAGTAAGCCTGTTGCTACTGATTTGGGGGCCTTTGGCCGAATAGACTAGGAGCTTGTGGCCTTTGTTGTTGTGGCTTGGCCCACCCTTGATTAGGGTATGGACAAGGAGGCATGGGCCAGGCCCATTCATCCACCCCCAAGGTGCGAAATGTGGCTGACAATATGAAGGAGACGAGTTCAAGTTTTGAGTTGCACTTGAACCTCGGCCACCGGATTGTTGAGCCTTACTAGACTTTCCACCGCCTGCACCGCGACTACCACCCGGACTGCCACCAGAATTGCGCCGGCCACCACCCGAATTTCTGCCTTTCGAACCCCCTGCTTGATCAGAAACTTGCGAAGATTCGACTGCCATCATTGCAAATTCGGTTGCCGCTTTCTTGGCCATCCCTACTTCCTCTAAAGTAAGCATGGAATGGGCCTTATAGAAAGGTGGAAGCGAGTTTCTCTGTCGGATTAACGTGCCAACACCACGGTACGCCTTTGTAAGGCCTCCAACCAATTGCAATACCATTCTACTATCCGACACAAATGCACCAACGTTTTTCAACTGATCAGCCAAGGACTTGAGGCGTTGACAGTAGGAAGAAACATTAGGAAAATCCTCCATTGAAGTGGTAGAAAAATCCTATTTGAGAGCAACGTCGCGGGAATGTTCATTGTCTTGAAATATACCATGCAATCTATTCCAAGCTTTCATAGCCGTAGAGTCGAGCTCAATAATGGTATGCAAAAGATCATTAGAGATAGTAGCGTAGATCCACGAGAGAACGGTGGCATCTAATGTCGACCATAGTTCCTTCTCTTCATTAGTAGATGGAACTTTCTCCTTCTCCTTGCCCTTGGCCGGAGGAATGATATGATCGAGGACTTTGTGACTACGTGCGTGAATCTTGAAGAGTTTTCGCCCAAGTCGAATATTGAACATTCTCCATTTCAAGAACAATAGAGACATAGTTCTTAATATTAGACACAGCAAGCGCTGGATGGAAAGATGTTTTGTTCGACATTGTGAGGGTGCCGGAGTAGGGAAGAAGATGATGGAAAAGAGAGGGGTAGAGGGCGGAATACGCAAATAGGGTTTGAGCGGAAGCGAGAGGTAATCCTAGCTAACTAATACCATGAAAGAATTATATTCCGTGAATAATATGATTGCTTTGCTAGCAATATATCCATCGTACAATAATAAGGGAAAGCCCCTAATTTAGCTATAAACAAGGTAACTAAATATCCTAAAGGCTAAACTCTAGGAAACAGAATTATACACAAAATATTTTTATGTATCTTAACAGGGACCTTTAGGACCACTAAAAAAGGAAAATAGTATAAAATCTTGGATAATAGAGTAAATTTTTTCTTGAGATAATTTCTTTCATGTGATTGGCTGTGCACTTGTGAAAAATGTGAATTAAGCTACCAAGATTTTATACAATTTTCCTTTTTTCAGTGGTCCTAAAGGTCCACTATGTTATTCACCTTATATTACTTTTATTTTTCAATTTTCCCCTTGTTTTATTTCCAACAATCTCAAGACAATCCACGAACCCTTCACCAACCACTTCCAATCCTAAAGATTTTAACACGCCTTTCAAATTTATCGGTGAGTTTTTCAAGCGTTGGTCCAAGAAGGTGTTGTTTACTTGAATCTCATGACAAGGATACATGTTGCGGAGGAATCACTAAAGCGTGACAATGTGACAAAGAATGGTAATGGTGATTCTAATAAGGTAAATTTTATCACTTCTAATGAGGACTCTCCTAAAGGTCATAGCAATGGTAAAATTAATGCTTACTTTAAACCTAAGGGTAAATTTTGTAAGAATAAAGGTCATGGAAAACATAACCATAATATAAATAATTATAATAATAAATCTAGACCTAATAATAACGGAAATCAATCTCATACCAACTCCTTTAATAATAAGAATCAATTTAATAAACCTTTTGTAGCCATGATTGCTGAAATTAACATGGTTAATAATTATAAGGGTTGGTGGATTGATACCGGAGCTTCTAAACATGTTTGTCATGATAGAAATTGGTTTAAAAATTATCAACCTACCAATGTCAAAAGAAAGGTCCTTCTAGGTGATTCTCATTCTACTAATGTTCTTGGTGTTGGTGATATTGAGCTTAAATTCAATTCTGAAAATTTTTTGACCTTGAAGGATGTCCTTCATGCTCCTCATATTCGTAAGAATCTTGTTTTCGGTTATCTCCTCAATAAAGCAGGTTTTGAACAGGTGATCAAATCCGATAGTTAAACTACTACCAAGAATAATGTATATGTTGGTAAAGGTTATGCTTGTGATGGTATGTTCAAATTGAATGTTGAGATGAATCAAAGTACTACTAGTTCTGTTTATATTGTGAATTGTATTAATGTTTGGCATGCTCGTTTATGTCATATTAATAGTAAATATATTAACGATATGAACTATTTAGGCCTTATACCTAAATTAGTAAATAAATTTGAACAATGTGAAGTTTGTAGTATGACTAAAATTACAAAAAAGCCTCACCCTAAAGTTGAAAGACACACTCAATTATTAGAACTTATACATGTTGGAGATATTGTTGAATAGTCTCCTTGGTTGCTTCAAAATAAAAGAACAAAGTCCCACATTGGTGAGGTAAAGAATTTTTACCTTCTTTATATATTTCATCACTCATGTTTATACTTGAGTAACTTGTGTGGGCTAGATATGGGTATCCCCTTGCGCGCCGCCGCTGCCGCCCGGCCCGGTTCGTGTTCGTGACTCCGTAATTATGCCAATCAACTATTTGACTAATAACCTTCACCAAAATTATCTCTTCATTTTACTGTTTTCTTTGACTAATTACCGAGATTTTCTCCCTTGATTATTCGACTCTTCTCAGTTTAAATGCTGGATTCTTTCAGTCTTTGAGAACACAGAAAAAATCGACTTTTTCACTGTTTTCCTCATTTCTCTCAAAATATATTCAAAACACTATTAGGGCATTGTATTATTGAGTTCTCAATTCATCCTTACAGAGTACACAGTTCGGATGAAGTCGTGTAACCCTGGGGGTCGATTGCCGTGAGTCCGTGTGTACGAGTGCGGGGCAAATTCGACTTTAGGGCAATGATTTATGTCACGCAACGATAATACTCTTTTCTTTGAGATAAGTTTTATTTCGTTATTATCCTTAGTTTCCACACTACTAAGAAAGAGATAAGTTATATTTCGTTATTATCCACAAACTACTAAGCAAGTGGGTGTTTAAAAAGAAACTAAAGCCCAATGGTTCAATAGACAAATACAAAGCTAGATTAGTAGTTTGTGGAAACTATCAAAAGAAGGGGCTAGATTTCTTTGATACTTACTCTCCTGTTACTAAAGTTGCCACTATTAGAGTTCTTATAGCTCTTGCATCTATTCATAATCTTGTAGTACATCAAATGGATGTAAAAACTGCTTTTCTTAATGGTGATTTGCAAGAAGAAATATATATGAGGCAACCTGAAGGATGTGTATTACCAGGTCAGGAAAACAAGGTATGCAGGTTAATTAGATCATTATATGGTCAAAAACAGGCACCAAAACAGTGGTATGAAAAGTTTGACCAAACCATTACCTCTAATGGTTTTCAGGTAAATGATTCTGATGCATGTGTTTATTCAAAATATGATGAGTATGGTTGTGTTATAATATGTATATATGTGGATGATATGCTCATTTTTGGATCCAACATAGATATAGTTAATGCAACAAAAACTTTTCTAAGCTCCTGTTTTGACATGAAAGACTTAGGAGAAGCTCACGAAATACTTGGCATAAAAATTACTAAGACTTCAAATGGGATGTGTCTAAATCAATCACACTACATTGAGAAAATTTTGAATAAATTTAATCAATTTGAGTGTTCACCTGTCAAAACCCCATATGATCCTAGTATACATTTGAAAAAGAACAAAGGTAACAGTGTTTCTCAAGAGGAATATGCCAAGATTATCGGAAGTGTCATGTTTTTAATGAACTATACGAGACCTGATATAGCATATGTTGTTAGTAGATTGAGTAGATACACCCATAATCCTAATCGTAAGCATTGGGGTGCTTTGATTAGATTTTTAAAATATTTGAAAGGGACAATCAATTGTGGTTACATTACCAAAGGACACCTTGTGTCATAGAAGGGTAATGTGACGCCAATTGGGTGTCTGATAACGATGAAATTCAATCTAATAAAGGATATGTCTTTACTCTTGCAAGTGATGCTATATCATGGAAATCTTCTAAGCAAACTTGTATTGCTAAATATACAATGGAATTTGAATTTATTGCTTTAGAACTTGCAGGGCAAGAAGCTGAGTGGCTAAGAGGGCTACTTGCAGACATTCCATTGTGGGGGAAACCTACTCCATCAGTCTCCATGCACTGTGACTCTCAAGCTGCCATAGGTGCTGCAAAGAACCAATCCTACAATGGGAAGAGGAGATACATTCACATGAGACATAGAATAGTTAAAGATCTTATCAGAAATAATGTGATATCAATTGATTTTGTAAAATCTGAGAGGAATATTGCAGATCCTCTCACCAAAGGCCTTTGTAGAAAAATGGTGCTAGAAACAACACAAGGAATGGGTTTAAAGCCTATTGAGGAGTGATTTATGATGGATACCCAACTTAGTTTTTTCTAAGTTCAATAGGGTCAAACGAAGTCACAAATAACTCGAGTCACATACTACTACCATTCCAAATAAATAAAGTGTTATAGTATTTTTCTTCAATTTTGGTTCAAGGATGAGCTTTAGGCTCTTAATAAGTTCATAGCCTTTAAGGTGGTTTGTGATGAGACAAACTTGATGAACTTATTTATGTGAATGTGGGGAATTTGTCCTACCCCTATGAGGTCATTTAGGCTTGTGATCTCTAGAGCATTCATGAAAACCCAGGAAATTGTGATGGACAAATCATTTGTTATTTGCGAGAACTTAATTAATTTTGAGATAAAGTCAAGTGTGCAAGTGTATTCATACAAACCCCATTTAAGGTTCAAGGTTTTCCCACCTTAAATGGATGTAGGATATACTTGTAAACACTGGGTGTCAATTCAAGTCCACAAGACATTGATTGTAATACCCCGTATTTTTTTATGTATTTTATAAATTATTTAATTAATTATAAAATATATTTTTAAAGTACTCAAGTATTTTAATTAAATATTTAAAGGGCTAAAGTATTTAAATTATTGAGTTTTATAAAAGTATAATTTATTTTGGGCTAAACGTTTATTAATCGTTTAAGCTCGTTTAAATAATAGTATGTAAACAATCCTTACATACTCCTTGTGGACCAACCCATTTCATTTAAGTAAGCCCAATTCTTTTATTTGAACCTTTGTGGGTCAAATATTTCATAACTAAAGCCTATTTTTTTAAGCCCAACCCTAGTCTTTATTCCCTACTCTATAAATACCTCTCAATACCCCAAAATTTTCCCACATAAGAGATCAAAACCAGATTTTGGGGTAAGTAATCTTTTCTTTTCTTTTCCCTTAATTTTATTTTCTTTTCTTTTCCTTCTTTTCTTATTCTTTCTTTTTCTTTTTTTTATGATGCTGTACGTGAGGGTTTTGGGAG